GGCGATGAATAGGCTGCAGATTTTTCTATTTTTGTGAACGTAAATAAAAAAATGAAATTTCGATAGAAATTGGCCTTTATCCACTAAATAATAACATAATGTTATGAAACTTTATTTCATATATTTTTATATGTGCATCGTGTGGATTTTTTCAAATTTTACATGAATGCATAGAAATCTAGCAGTCTAATGACGATTCCCTGTTGTTTTTCTATTTAATTATACTTTTCTATTAAGTTTTCTATCCCAATTGTTCAAAACTCTGATAGTACCAATTTTCGTTATTTTCTCATGAAATGTTATATATAGTATCTTGCAGCAACATCTTTCTCTGCCAACATGCAACGTATATTTTCGATCATTTTGATAACGAAATGTATCGTCAATCAGTGAAATCTTTCGAAACAAACAGTACATTGCATTCTAATTATTATACTACAATTATGCGTTCAGTGTAGCAGTTTTTTTCGAGGACATGTATGGTAATTTATTGTTTCGAACATAGTTGTAACAAGTAAAAATTGAAAACAAGTGATCATAACGTTGGACGAAATTAAAGAATGTAAGATCACGATATGAAAAAGTTAAACACTTACACGTGAGAGTGGGATTTGTGTGAATCTTACACGCAGTTGAATAGAAATTTAAACTACTTATTGTTATGTAGGCACTAATTTTTTACAATTGTGTGGAAAATTGACACTAAAAGGAACAAATTGACATCCGTTCCTTTGAATAAAAAAAAAAAAAAAATACAAATTGGTAAATTTTTTTATCACAATAAACTACATTTCTTTTTTCAATTGTATATACTCTCAGTAACAGGTACATGTTCAATGTTATATTATGATCTGATTTTATTCACATTTTATAAGAAAGATTACGTCAAATCGATGCAAAGAATGGACGAGTATAGAATATTAGTATAAGTATTAAATTTAAAATATAATAGTATAGTATTAAATTTAAATAATAGATATAGTATTAAATTTATTTTTAGATATAGATATTAAATTTAAAAAAAAAAAATTGAGTTAAATTCAATTCCCAGGGAAGCAGCATATTATCTACTTATGGGGAACAACAACAATACGATAAGGAAGAAATGAACGAAAGAAGAAAGAGGGAAGAGGTTACATTGGACGTACATCTAAAAAAAAGTATACCTACTGAAATGCAATACTTATTTACATGCGTAAATACCTCCGTTCCCGAATGGCTTGCTGTGAAATCTGTGAAATGCATTGTGCCCGGAAATTCTCGTAATGCACATCCTGCGTCACGTCTTTCAGATCTTGCATGTGCGTGGATATCAGCATTGTCCTTAATTTCACGAAATCACTGTGCTTCGGGTTCTCCACTGCGCTCGATCGAGAAGTCAAATGTCAATCTCCCATTCGAACGCGGTGACTATTTGCTTGAGACTATTTTCTTTTGTAATGTAAAGCTGCGTCTCCGTTTGTGAATTTCATTCGATAATTTTTCTCTCGAGAGTACTCTCAAATTCTGTATATATATATATATATATACGGGTATATATGGGTATAAGTGATGAAAAACTGGCCAAGAGTTTACTAAGAAAATTGTGTCCATTGGAAATTTGTGTGTCTCCTCTCTCTACGATTTCTCTTAGTTTATTGTATACTCTTTTAATACTGAAAGATTGTTTTCGTGACTAGATCTATTAAACTGAAGATCGACATTCTTTTTTTACAATGGCCTCTTAATCCTTCCAGTGTTTATTGGAGTATGATATACAGATAATTTAAGAAATGTTTAAAATATAATTACAGTATCAAGTAACAGAATAAAACAAGGCATGTTCTGACATAATGATTTATTGTAAAGAATGTAAAGAGATATAGAAAGATATAAAAATTAAGAACGTAGAATGTTAATATTGTTTTAAAAATCACCGATTACAAGAAGATAAAAATTATTGTTACTAAATCCACCAATTAATCAAAAAAGTCCAAGAGAAATATTACTTGGAATTTAATATCGTTAAGAATTTAATTTGGTATTTCTTTTCATAATTCTAATATTGAAAAATAAAATTTGGTAATATATGTGATATATTAATTAAAAAGATATTTCTAACTTTTACATCTTGTCTTAAGTTAAAAATTTTCAATTAAATATTTTACCCTCTGTGTAATACGTTGTACAGAATTTGTAATACTCAAATGCAAAATGATTGATAAAACTAAATCCAATTTCAATCAATCTAAAACGTTTAACAAACAAAACTAACTTGTAAGTGATTTTACAAGCTCAACAATTATAAACACAGTTGATATAAATATAAAGAGGGTGAATATAACAATATAACAAAATTAATAAAAATATATAACAATTAATATAAAATTAATATGAAAGTATATTTGTAAAAGTTAAAAAAACGATATCGAATAAAACAATTCTATTTACTTGTGAGAAATACTCTCGAGACCAATTCACGAATAGTTTTCACTCTCAAATGGACACGCATCTAAAATTGAAAAAAAAAAAAA